CCTGCACTGAAGGGAATACCATTAATACCGTTTTCGTAATCAAGACACCGGATTACCCTTCATGGGCTCAGATTCGGGGAAAGATTGAAATTTCCTGGTTGTAATATGTAATTGATTAGTGCCTAAGTTGTGCAAAAACATTCTGATAGATGTGACGGTGCCAATTTTTCACTGCTTTTAAGCCTTGTCAGAAATGTATTCATGTAATGAGTTTTGTGAGTCATTTACACTTTCCCATCTCAAATTTCCTGTTTTCAGTTGTTATTACCTGTTATCAATGAGTATGCGAAGTTGTTATTCTTCTTCGCCCATAACTACGTCAAATGTGTGGTACTTACGACTTGTAATGGATCGAAATCGCACAACTTCTCACTTGCTTCATCAAATGACCCTACCTTCTTTCCGGAAATTTTCCCAATTGAGACGTGGACGGTGAATACTCATTATCTACTTTTGTCTACTTTTCAATTAAAGTATTCGATTTTAGGGGGCGAACCAGGTTGCTGTTTTGCGAGGAATTTCTGAGGATGAAGTCCCGGATCGGGCTCGAGAACAAGAAGCATTGGTTGCTCTATCTGCAGCTCAGTCGAGCAGACAATCAGGAAACATAAAACGCGTTAGTTTTTGCTAGTTTCGAATTAACGCCAAGCGTTGCTAATGAGCGGTCAGAGAAAAGGAGGAGCTCCTCCTGATTAAGCGGAGTGCTTATGGTTCATTAGTTTTCCTAACGTTCTACTCTAAATCAGCATTGCGATCAACAGTTTCACTTTCAGCGTTTGAGTGTTTGCATTCTTTCATGTTCCTGGTACTTCTCAACAAAAGTGTCCTAAGAAACCTAGCGACGCGGTCATGCTGCCTCATATTTTGTTAACAGTTCAATGGAGCACCTACGATGACCTTTTGATTAATATCCACACAAAATCACGGTCATAATATTGCAAGATCACAAGCTGTAAACGCGGTCTAAGATTTCATGATAATTAGCGGAACCGGGACATTGTAATTCATATCAATCCTAAGTAACGGTTTCTGTTGTAATAACAGGCTCTTTCGCATCGCTATCAGAGACAGTGCGGTCGGATAACTTTGAATATTAGATGTACTCATGAAACTGCAATTTTAAGCAGTTTTTTCATGCTTTTAAGCAGTAGAATGACGAAACAACCATCTGAGTGAGCATATTTTCAGGCGAAAATGATAATCGAACACGCGATGGCTCTCGCTCCAAATCATCCTGATATTCTCACCGAATATGGGCTGTTCCATGAAGTATGATCTTTCCTAATTAAGAGGTAAAAGGTAGCTCTTCTTGGTTTGATAATATATTTTTTTTAGATGTTGGAAGATAATGTGCTGGAAGCCGATCTCTGCTATGCGAAGGCTTTGGCCTAGACGACCAAACCACCGAGGGCTTGTGAGTTTTTTTTTTCATCTCTAGAACACCAATAGCAAAGTAAGTAAGAAGGTAATTAAAGCAGCAACCCCAAATGAGGTCGTGTCGAGCCATCTATTCTATGGGCATAATAACGTAGTGAGCGAGTATCACAGCTGTGCCGATGGCGTTGGTCGCTGCATTCTAGGAAGTGGCTGCGACTACAGGCGCTACGGCAACAAATTTAGCTAATGACGGCCCATGTGGGCTAACGGACGAGATACCTCACGTTCGCCACCACACATCCTGGATTACGAAGGAGTGGAAAAGATAGCCGTTAGGAAGACAGATATGGTAGCCTTATTCATCAAATCGTTGTTACTCACCATTTGAGCTTCCGGTGTTGTTGCTGTTAGACAATTGTTGAGGTTTCACTTTCCATATGCTGCTGTTTTTGATCAATTACTTACTTTTATAGACGGAGGAAGCGGACGTTGCCATTGGTCAACGCAATGGATGCGAAGTTATTACGGCGCGTTGAAGCGAAGCGCGATCAGTTCGCACGCCTTCCTCATACGTCGTCGTTGAAGAGAGCTATGCGCGAAAGTTATTTTCTCCACATTTACCATACTGTGGCCTATTGAAGGAAGCACATTAACGCTTGGACAAACACGGTGGGTATTAGCAGGGCCAGGCCAGTCATCACAATATTCGTTATAAGCACAGGAAATGTTCAGATTATTGAAAGGTACTATTTGTACAAGTATAGAGTAAATTAAATTTATATCTTCAGTTCAATATTGGAATCTGGTGTAGCTGTAGGCGGGAAAAGCATTCATGAACACAACGAAGTGATTGGTATGGATGCAGCTCTCAGATACTTGAATCACTCTCTTCTTCATAGTGATGAAATCAGTCTGAATGTAAGCTCCTTCCGAACCTATAAGGCCGATGTCATAGTTTGCGAAAGCGATTCGCTAGCGAATCGCTGGATCCGAGCGTTGCGCCAGCGAATCGAACGTTGCACCAGCGAATCGAACTTTGCGCCAGCGATCGAACGATGCACCAGCGAGTCGAACGATGTACCAGCGACTCGACACTGTTTGAAAGTGGCGGGACCCAACGTTTAAAGGAAGTCCACTTTAAAGGACCACACTGTTTGAAAGTGGCGGGCTTCCTTTAAACGTTGGGTCCCGCCACTTTCAAACAGTGTTGAGTCGCTGGTACATAGTTCGACTCGCTGGTGCATCGTTCGATTCGCTGGTGCAACGTTCGATTCGCTGGCGCAACGCTCGGATCCAGCGATTCGCTAGCGAATCGCTCGATTCGCAAACTATGACATCGGCCTAATGATGATCACACATGCTAGATGAAACCGAATAATTGCTTATTTGTACTAATATTCTCAAGGTTCAGGATATACTAGAGATGCACAGAAGAGTTCTTGGAAATGCTAATCCAATCGACGCTGGACGAATCCGAACTACACAGGTTGGTTTTTGAAGTTTCGAAATTTATTATCTCTCCATTCCGTTTTGGTCGAAAACATGCAGAAAATGGTCTTTATTTGCAACAGTGACGTTTCTGAGGAAGTTGCGATTGGAAATTTCTCAAGTGCTGATTGTTCCAAATTTGTTCCAATTGCGCGAGGTGTTCTTGTTACACAAATACTCGTTTAGATATGGAAATTCCAGCTCCTAGTTCTACCACGTGTTAATTCAATTTTTTTATTGATTAGTATTTATTTCAAGGTGTTTGTTGGAAGATTCACGCCTGTAGCTCCCGAGTATGTGAAGGACCAATTGGATGAGCTCGTCGATTGGTTGAGGGATCCTGGTACACTGGAAATGAGTCCTATCGAGAGAGCTGCTATTGCTCACTACAAACTTGTGGGTTTTTATGATGTATTTGGAATATCATCATTACATATACGTTATGTTTGATAGTTCCTGCCACATCGAAATGTTTCGATTTCGAAGTTGCCGATTCCGTCGGAAATGTGGTAGCTCTCAAGCTCTATTCACTGGAAAATTTCAAGATTTTTTCTAGTCATTTGCACTTTAACTATTACATATACTTGTGGAGGAAATTCACTGGTGTCTCGAGATTTACGGTTGTATATGTGTGTGAATAGTGCTGTCCGAGTGCCTTGCCTGATAACGATATGATGAAGAATGCGATGTAATATTTCTGAGCATACAATATTGTTTCCTAAACATTTTGTTAGAGCCGAAGATGGTGCGGTAGTACTTGCAACCTCTGTAAGCGACCTTACCATTGGACGTCTAAACTTTTGGGAAGCCATGCGTAGTAGCGAAGAATCTTAAGATGTACGCAAAGAAAAAAAAAACAGCAACAGTGCTAGTTAATGAGCTGCAATGTCGATCGAAGCTTTGCTGGGTCACGCGATTAATCTGGCCTGCGTTCAAGCTGAACAGTTCATGCAAGAAGGACTCAAAGACTCAAGGACTCAGCTTACAATACTAATTGCACGGTTGTTGTTGTGTTCGTAGGCGCGTAACTTTTACTTGGAATAATTTAAATTGGTAGGATGTTGTGATCAGAGAAATGCATAAGTAATACTAGGCTGGATAACCAGGAATGGATTTCCGATACTCCTGTGCAGTTTACTGGTAGACTTTTTCCTAATATGGCAGTTGTAAAATCGGCAAGCTTGGGACGTTCTCACAAATATAAAGCGTATTGCATTGTATTTTTTCCATATGCTCCTGCTGTATATACATGCTCTGTTTAGGTTGTTGTGCATCCATTCATTGACGGCAATGGGAGAACGGCTCGACTCCTCCTGAATCTGATTCTAATGAGAGCGGGCTTCCCACCTGTAATTCTGCCAGTCGAATCACGGGCCGAATACTACGCAACTTTACACACGGCGAACCTCGGCGACTTACGTCCATTTGTGCGATATGTCGCGAGGCATACGGAGAACACCCTAAAGGTATGAGCATTATTCAGGATTGAGATTTTCTTTTGAATGTACTTGCCTTTGTCTTTACTACGTTCATGTTTTCCATTTTGAATACTCGCTTGAAACCCTCGCTTTTCCTTCTCTAGTGCATTTTGTTTAGTGACCCAATTTATGTCGTGTGCAAAATTTCAGTTCTACATTAGTTCGGCCGAGTCTTGCGTCCCAGCGGATTGTCCAGAGCACGAGCTTCAAGGAGAAGAAAGTGAACGAATACAGTCTTGAAGGAATGGGTGGTTTTTTTTTCAGGGAAAGTGGTTCTCATAGCGTTCGTATTTATTTCATCTCACCAGAATGGGTCTACCTGTGATATTGATTGATGGTTTTATGTGATTACTCGGTAATAATTATTTCATTCGAAAAGTTCATAGAACTATGGTAGGAACACCTAGTGGTCAGTGTGTTTGGCTAAATTTGTGCAATATATCTCTTTTCATTTCATAACATTGTAGATCTTCTATGTACATATCTCGCTCACCAGAAAACAATAAAATAACGAATTTCTCGTGTGCGCTTCTCGAAAGATGTATTACTGCGACTAATAGCTCTTCACCTACTCATTTAGAGATTTTTTAGAACTACTTTTTGAGTTGAAACAACAACCCCAGACCAGGTCGTGTAGCACAATCTACTCTCTGTGGGTAGGATAGAGTTGTTCAAGAGTACTACAGAAGTGCCGCTGTTCCGAGTCAAAGCCGCACGACAATGGCGCTAGGGCCGAAGTGTGAATGAGAGTAAATGGACAAACGCGCGGGTTATCGCAGCCATGGAGCAAGCGGGTCTAGAAAATTCGTCCATGCACGCCCCTTTCCCATATCAAAGAGAAGGTCTTTGTTGAATTCTTTGGCGGTGGTTTCCTTTGCCTTTTTTGTGTTCGGTCAAATCGGCATCTACACGTTCAATATCGGCCGTTGTTACCTCACTAATTTGATCGGGGGTTGTTGCTCTAAACATATAACTCGAGTAAGTTACACATACTTTTGTACGGCATATCTTCCTGGGATTGTATGCATGTTTACAGTAGTATGCTCATAGAAGCAAGAGACGGTCTTCAGTCGTAATTAGATGTTTCGGAGGGGAAGGGGCCATAAGCATTATAGTCAGCACGTAAAAGCACTATTGAGAAGAGATGGGTGAGAATTGCGTTGTGAAACCTGGCACACGGTAGAAGGAAGTGCAAAATATTGAAATACCAGTTGGCGCCAGCACGCGTTGCGCGCGCAACACAGTTCTGCGGCGATATGGGATGGTGCGGCGTAAATTCTCAAATTTGGCCCGATACACTACGAATATTTGACTTCTGAGCTAGGTTCTATCCGCTCCATAATCGATAGCTTTTAACCTCTCCTTCGCAACCATTATCCGCTTTTTCCCGGTCTCCGGACTAGACTAGAC